AGACCCTCTATGAGGTGGATTGATTCAGTGACGGGGGTAATCAGGATGGGTGTGTCAGAGACAGTGAGATTGGCACAGGATAGAGCAGGGTTTAGGGCTTGTACATAGGGTTGCTATGAGTCGCAAACGACTCGACGGCACATAACAACAACAAGGTAAACTTCGATATTGACCTTTATTTGGTAAATATTTGATCTTGATCTTTAATATATTAGACACCTAACCTATCAAATTATAAGCATTTATCTTAATCTAAGATACATCACATTCCTAAAATCAAAACCAAAAAAGCACACATACCTTTTTTCCAAGTCTCTGATTTTCTCTCTTAATGGCTCAACAATCTAAAACAATAATAAGCAAAATTATTTTTACAGCAAAAGCATACTCCTCCAGCACTCCTACTCAGTCGTGACTTTTCAAACTGGCATGACATAATGCAAGAGATTTTAATTTTGTCTATCACTAATTTCCAGTTAGAACTACGATATACCATGTGTGAACCAAAATTCTAGGATCTAGATGATAAATTACGTTAGAATCTTGACTCAATAAACACCTAGGTCTTAGAGAAAATTAACTTTTATTCAATTCAAACAGATTTTCAGGCCCATAAATACAGACACAATAAAATCATGCTTTTCAGGAACAAAAGAATTCCCAAATTGCTGCCCACAAATGCCAGACATCTTTTTACAATTATATCCATGTTATCAGTTGCAGCACATAAATTCTAGGCTGTCAATCAAGGTCCACCCACATGTGCTAATGCTCATGAGAGTCGACAGAGCAAGCAAGAGCAATTCAAGTTCATCTCTGTAACAACCCCACCATGCAGCTTCAAATCACATCTTCCACAGGTGAATGAGTCCCCACTTCCTCCCACAAGCTGTGTTAAAACAACTGGCGTATCTTTACTTACTGGCGGAAAGATAAGTATGTAGTATAACACACGTGGTGTATGATCAATTGGGTACACTTGCTGTTGGGTTAATTCTAACTCATGACTCCATGTTACAGCAGAGCTGTGCTTCGTAGGGACTTTTCTTCTGGGGCACTCTTGGGTAAATGAAAATGTCTAATCTTTCCATGAGAGAGATCAGCTGGCCCAGTGGACAGAAAGAGATGCTACCAAGCCAAAGGTGGGTGACTTATACCCCTAATGGTCGTTAAGCCAGTAATGAATTTTGTAATCTTTAGTTCCTGCTCCAACAGTGTAAGAAAGTATCTCTTTCTTGCTCTTAGGCAGAATAGCCATTTTCACATGTGACAATGAGCATTTTCCCATCTGAGCAGTTTCTGCCCCTCCATA